ACGTTATATACCCGTATATTATATGTATATGGGATATGAAAAAAGGTTACGGCATTATATACGCACCACCACTTGATCATCTGGTATATGTTGATGATTTTGCCTATAGTGGCTGAGATGATACGATGGGATGCCCTCAGAGGCTTGATGATATTATGTACGCATATACCTATGCATGGTATGGCATTTATATGCACATGCATGATATTATAAATTTTCATGATTCACAAAGCTATTCAGAATTACAGGTTGAGTTCTTTACTCCATGTTTCTTTCATGTCTTTTATATACTATTGTCATGCCTTACATACTCGGTACTTTATTTGTACTGACGTCCCTTTTGCCTGGGGACGCTGCGTTTTATGCCCGCAGGTTCCAATAGACAGGTCGAGAGTTACCCAAATAGGTTATCAACTCAGCGAAAGATGTTGGTGCGCTCCATTTGCTCCGAAGTTGCTTATTTGGTCAGTATGATTCAGACGTGTATTATCTAATATGGCAGGGCCATGTCCCGGCCTTTATGGTATTTATCTACTCTTAGAGCCTTGTAGACATATGCCATGTACGTAAAAGATTGTATGCCCTTGTCGGCCTATGTTTAGTGTACAAGTGATCATTTTGGTCTTATAGGCCCAAGTTGGTATTTCATGTTTTATTCTACTTATCTCACGACAGCCTCTCATACTCATTTACCTATGATAGTATGATACGAGAGATACGTTACATTGGTACTCGGTTGAGTAAAGTACCGGGTGCCCGTCGTGGCCCATCGGTTTGGGTCGTGACACTTTTTTTGATATTTTAAAGCTTAAATATAGAAATTAAATTTTTTTATTAATTGTTAAATACATTCCAAAACTCAAACTACAAAGAAAAAGAGAGACGATATAGCGATACTTACGTCGTAGGGATCGTTTTAATGTTATCGCTTCTTGATTTCGTGTCCGAGATGATAGTCTTGTTTGAAGCAATATTAGAGAGCTCAAGGACCGTTTATGGTGTACTCTGGTCATATGCTATGTAAAAATGAAGAGAGAGATATGAGTTAAAGAAAATATATCAACTTTTGAAAAGTCAAAAGGTGCTAGCTTGGCACCCTCTGATTTACCCATCTTCCGATACTTATATCTTTTTATCCGAATATCGTATGAACAAATGGTTAAGAGCTTTGGAAACTACATTCCAAGACCTTCAATTTGGTATATAATATGTCCCAAAAATACCTCATATAGCATACGAAATTTATTTATCAAAATACTCTGTTATAGGGCAACTTTAATTCGATTTTTCCCAAACTTTATGTGTTTTATCCAAACATCATATATAGTCATATTATGACTTTAACCTCATTTAAATAATGATTAATAAGTCTCATATTCATTATACGTCACCTTGGGACGTACAAGGTGTAACATGGTGGTTGTGGTTGTGATTGAGGAAGGTGATAGTAGTTTATAATGGTGGGCAGTGCCAGCTATGGTCGTTGATGGTGATGGGGTGGTTAGTTGTGATAGTTGAGGTGGATCAGTTTGTGGTTGTGGTTGAGAATATGGTGGTGGGGGTAGTAGGGATTCTAGGTGGTGGTTGTCCATAATGGTGACGGCATTAAGAAGGTGGTAGTGGTGGTGGAGGTGGTAGTGAGTGGTATGGTAGTTGATAATAATAGACGGTGGTGACAATTTATATATATAATAAAGATGGAAAAATGAAAGATGATGTGACATGTTTCTTTGGCCAAGGTTCACATTTATCTTTTTTTCTTAGATTTTATACCTTTTCCCTTATTTTTACATTTAAATTTTGTTAACAATTAAGCATGCCTTATTCATTTCTTTCATCATTAATATACTACTAATCTTTTTTCCTAAAACGTTTTCTATTCCTTTTTTCCGTTATAATTTTTCCTCCACTTAAACATCATCATTGTTGCTATTTATTTATTTCCTTTAAATTTTCCTGCTTTCTTTCTATGCTTTAGTTTTTTCCCCATAATTCAAAAATAATTCCAATGCTCGAGGAGTGTTCCGATAGAAGTATTTTGCTCTCCAGATATCCAATTCTAATCCTATATTATTTTGTAACTTTGTTTGCTTTACTTGATAGCGTCTGAGATTATAGTTTGTGCAACGTTTTTATTCATGTTTGATTTCCTCAATTGAATTTGAATTTCGAAATAGTAGCTTCATGCTTTCTTTGTTTTACTGCCCTCCCTATGAGTGAAAATGAAAATGGAGAAGTATGGACTATGGCTAGCAAGAAATTGGTAGAAGAATACCAGGTATGTCACTATTTGTTTTTTTAAAACATGTCAGTTTCATGGACTCTGTTGAAATAGAGTTATAACTTGGGGTTTTCATGAAAATCCGAAAAATCGAACTAAGCCGACCAAAAAAATCAATACTTTTTAGGTTTGGTTTGATTTTGGTTTTGAATTTTAAAAACCGATCAAATTTGATTTGGTTTTGGTTTTAATAAAAAAATAACCGAAAAAAATCAAACCAAACCAACTATAGAAGTAGGTATTTAAATTTGTTATTACACTTATATATATATATGTATATTTTTATATAAAGTTTCTAAAATGTTATGGTACATATTAGTCGTTTGTATTTTAAGTATAGTTCTTTGGTATTACAATAATCTAATTCTTTGCCTTTACATTCTAGTTTGATTGATAGTTTGTTTTTGCTAAGTACAAGAATTATTTCATGTTAAAAATAATTAATTTTTAATTGAGTACTTAAATTATTCATCACTATTTGATTCAATTATCATCAATATATCATGGTAAATGATAGATTTCTCAAAGAGCAATTGGTTTGATAGTGTTACGTTGAAAATGTAGTCATCGGAATATGTGTTTGGTAGTGTATGTCTCATAATAAGAAAAAAACTGATAAATAACCGAAAAAACCGAAAAACCGATAAAAACCGACAAAAATCGAATCGCTAAAAAACCGACTTAATTGGTTTGGTTCCAACATTTTAAGAACCGACTTACGTGGTTTGGTTTCTTTTTAGGGAAAAATCGATCTAAACCGAACCATGAATACCCCTAGTTATAACTATGCACCAATAAATCGACTTCTTTACCATTCTTCTACTCTGAATTTTAATTCTAACTTCTCACAAGTTTTTTATCATATAATCCTTGAAGTTTATTGAAAGAATTAAAAGTTTCAACGGCACTTTATTTTTATCTTCCTTTCTACTGATTTACTTTTGATTGTTATAATGTAAGAAAATTACTACATAATTGAACATTGATATGATCTGCAAATTGCTTGGATGGAAATTTTGTTAATGTATAATCTTCAGAGGAGAATTGGAGTAGCATCAAGTAATTGACTTTATAGCAGTGGTAAATAGTTCGGTAATTCCTTTTGAATTTCTCCATGGGAAGGGAGAAGCAAAAAAGATTTTGTAATTATGTAATAACATAAAAGAGTAATTACATGTGCTTCTTTGCTTTTTCTATCCAGTGTAATAGGTTTCTGAAGTTTTGTAAATGCCTATTTTAGTGAAAAGTAGTAAAATTAAAGAATTCACATTTCTTTAAAATTCTTTAGCTGATTATTTATAGATGTAAATATTATATATAAAAAATTTGTTAGCAGAAGTTTGTTAGTTGATTATCTATAAATGTAAATAGAATGGTTGTTATGGTTTCAACCTTTCATATTCCGTATTTTTGGACCGTGCTCTATCTGCAAGTTTCTTCCCTTATCCTCTAGCCATTCATACACCTTCTTCAATTCTCGCTTTCATTAAGAATATATTGAGTTAAGCTTTTGTATTGGCTATGTTTCAACGAAACTTATAGTCATTTTTATATTGGGAATTACAATATTTTTTTACTATTTTACAATTGATATTCTTGAAAAGAAAATTAACTAATTCAGTTTAGGTCCCGAATATGTGCTAATAGAAAGTACCAACAATAATTGTTAAAATAAGATTATGAGAATGATATTGGAAAAAAATTAATTATACTACTAGGCATTAGCTGTGTTGCAAGATATATGAAGTCGAATAAAATGAATATCAAATTCGATGAGTTACTCATGTTTAACGATCAATTTTGTGAGGTTAGACATGTCCTTTGAAAAGCATAAGAAATGCATATTACGTACATGTGTATTATATGATTATGAAGATTTTGTGCTAGATATTATACATTAAAATCTAAAAAATGAGATTTAAATATTTGAGAAAGAACAATCAACCTTGAGAAATTATTTATTTCAAAGCTTATCGAAATATAAAAACAATAAAGTTGGTCAAAGAATACCACCTCGGCATCACCAATTGGAAGTCTTAAAGACATGCGACCATATAAACTTTTATATATTTAATTTTTTATAAACTTTTGTATATTTTATTTTATATATATTATTCTTGCATTGGGGTTTAATATTTTTAGAAATTTAGATGGAATGGAATACATATGTAATTAAAATATGACTTTAATGATATTTTTCATCACCGTGCGAAGCGCGGATAGATTCACTAGTTAATAATAAATGTGGATGATAGTATCTTAATGAAATTAAGTCTTTGTTATATATCTTAATTATACAGACCTATTAAGACCCACTAAGTGGTTGTGAAGTAAAAAAAACCTTAATGATAAAGATTCAAATTTTAAAAACAAACGTACTTAATATTTGAGATCTGAATGATTAAGATTCAGACCTACATTTAGTGCAAACCAACGAGACCTTATTAAACTATCGGAAAAGGGTCAAAACTACCCCTATTATTTATTAAATAGTTTAAAAATACCCTCCGTCCATGTACATCACGTTATTTTTATACCTAAATCCACCCCTCCTTTTAACTGTGCAGCATGTGGGCCTCACATTTAATGTGTTGTCATTTTTTTATATGGCCACATGGCTCGTTTTGTTCAGAAATCAAATATCCACTTCATTAACCTAACCCGTCCCAATTATCTGACCCGCCCCATTATTTTCTTTCTTTTTTCTTAATCTTTTCTCTTTTCTTTTTTGTTATCTCAGAACTCGAAATTTTTGCCTCGAATGGGGCAGACAAAAGGAGACTCCTAAAGCCAGAGAAGTTTTGGTTGGATGGGAATCAGATAGGTCAGAGAAAAGAGAGACGAACCTTCATGGGAAAGAAGAGGATTTGCTAGTCAACTCGTAAAGCTAGAGAAGTTTTGGTGGCTATTCCGACGAATCTGCCGGTGTCAGATTCTTTGTATTTGTCCATAGGTGTGTCTAAAACTCAAGAAAATAATCAAGGGGAGGTGGTGGAAGTGTCCAAGGCCTCGGGTAAGTCAGTTTCTGAGGTTGTCCCTTGTGATACAAATGCTCCGACAACTCTGTCGGTGTCGGAATTTTACCTACAGAACGGTGGGACGATTGTTTGGGTTAAACAAGACAAATAGACCTGCCAGAGAATTACCCAGTCCCTCCTAATTAGCTTTGACGGAGCTTTTACTCAATCACATTATATGAATCGTTCAATTTCTCAATCATCTTGTAGCGTCACACACTTGTGAATCTTTCTTCCATAAAAACCCAAGCACATTCAGTTGACTTCTGAAAGTTTAGAGTAGAAGAAGTAGGCTAGTATCATTGAAATGTCTGTTGCTTCTTTTTTTTATTTTTGAAACTTGAACGTAAACTCCATATTTTGCACAGTAAACCCAATTCTTTTGTTTTCTCCGGTGGATTAACACATTGAATTTCCGCTTGTTTGTTAAGTCAACGGAGGAAGAAAGAGAGAGAAAAAACCTTCAAAAAATAAAAGGTAAGAAAATGGGGCGGGTCAAATAAATGGGCAGATATTATTATACCCACATATCTTGTTTGATCCAAAGAGCTACGTGGCCCAATAAAAAATATGATAACGCATTAAATGTGAGGCCCACATGCTGCGCCGTTAAAAAGAAGGGTAGTTTTAGGTATAAAAATAAAGTTAGTGTATTTTTGGACTAATAGATGAACGGAGGTTAAACCATTTAGTAAAGGATGGGGATAGTTTTGACCATTTTCCGTTAAACTATCAGCACTAAAGCCCAGTTATCGACTTCTATTAGAACTAACTAAAGCCCATCACAGCCAAATAATAGAAGCTAGTAGGAAGCTATAGTATTAGTATAGTACTAGAGAATAACCAAGATTCCGCGTCGACCACTTTCACGGGTAAAACGGAGGACGAGGGAGAATCTGCAACTGAAACATACAGAAATGGGATTGAAAATTGGAGGAAAAGTTGAAAAGGTGAACGGAAGAGAAGTAAGTTACGGTGAGTTTATGGAGAAATATATGGCCCAAAACCAACCTGTGGTTCTTACTGGACTTATGGACGATTGGAGGGCTTGCAACGATTGGGTCTCTCCTAATGGAAAACCGAATCTTCACTTCTTCTCCTCCCATTTTGGGAAATCCAAGATTCAGGTAAGATATGATTTTTTTGAATTATATTTTTTTGGGTTTGTGGTCGCTGGTCACACCTGCTGGTGATTTGCAGGTTGCGGATTGTGGGACCAGAGAGTTCACTGATCAGAAGAGAATAGAAATGACTGTTTCTGAATTCGTTGATCATTGGCTTTGTCTTTCTTCTGCTAATAATGGTGGTAACAGTGATAGTGGTGCTGCTGCCAGGTCTTTGTTGTATCTGAAGGATTGGCATTTTGTAAAGGTATCAACTTTGGCTCCGCCTAGTAATAAATTATAGATAAATTAGACATTTCCTACCTTCATCCGCTTAAATAAAATTTTTAGTGTATCTTATGGTTGTTCCCTGTTGCTAAATGCGAAAAAGCAAAGGTCGTGAATCTTTTTTTTTTTTTGTATCTTGTTGCTTCAGTTAAAATTCATTCTTGGGGGAAAACTAGCCTTCTGGATGCATTTGATAATTGATTTCGTTAAGTTTGTTCAACCCCTATCGTGAAATAGTGCAATACTGATTTATTATTGAGAAAGAAAAATGGTGTCCAAATTAAAAGATTTGGCCTTTCAGACAACGAGGAATCATGCTAAATGCTATCAGCTTACCTGAAGTAGAATGATTTAAATAATGGTTTGTGGATAGTTATTATCTACACCCCCAATAATCGTAGTTGATATAGAAAACTAGCATATTGTTTAAATCCAGCACATAATATAGTGTCGAGGGTGTCTACTTTTTATACCAATCCCATCACTAGTTGTATTCCTTTTTCTTTTATTAAGGATTGTTTGTGTCGTACTCCTTTTCACCATGATAATGTTTGTTTTTGTATTTAAGTAATCGGATAAATCTCTTTTCAGCATTGTAGCAGAAAAGGATCGGTAGCTTGTTACTTTGCTCATTAGAAATACACTCTATATTAACGTGTTCGGTTTTGTGTCCGTGACCTTATATATTGGGATACTTTTATGTAGCATAAGATGAAAAATACACTCCACAGAAACTGAATGAGTTATTACATGTTATGTTGCAAGTTATCAATCATAACAGTGAGATTAAGAGTTGCATTTTTTCAGTCGCAACATTACACTGACATTATAAGGTAGGATTTTAATGTGTATCTCTGTCTTTTTCTTTTGCCCATCTTTTGAAAGATGCATCTTACTCCAGCCTTCTTTGTCCATCCTATCAAAAAAATTCTTAACCTGTTTCTCTTGCTGATTTTGAAAAATTCTAACTTCTTTTTAGGAATATCCGGAGTATATTGCATACAGAACTCCCCTGGACTTTTCTGATGACTGGCTGAATTTCTATCTTGACAAATTTCGTATGCATAACGATCCTGATACATATAGTGAGGGAAATGAAATAAGTTGTTCTGACTATCGCTTTGTATACATGGGAGCAAAAGGTTTGACCATAGACGCGATAAATTCTTTATTGTAAGACACGGTTGTTATTTTCCATGGCTCTTGCTATGAATTGTAGTTTGTTTTCAAATCAAGTACCTAGTACTTTCGGCGAAGTGTTTGAATTTTTGAAATGGATGCAGGAACATGGACGCCTCTTCATGCTGATGTATTCAGATCATACAGTTGGTCGGCAAATGTATGTGGAAAAAAGCAGTGGTATTTTCTGCCTCCAAGTCAACATCACTTGGTTTTTGACAGGTGATAGTACATGTTTTTGTTTTCTATGGACTTTCTTCAGACCCTTTTCCTTTTCCTGCCAACATTGTTCCTTAGGCTTTGGAAATGAGATTAAGTTGAAACTGTGAATGTTTTGAAAACATTGTCTGAGTGACTCGGAAAGCGATGTACGCTGCTGAACTCTGAAAGTTTCTATTGTCCAGCTCCAGAACAGATGTCCCATATCAACTCAAACATGTAATCTCGAAAGAAGTTTGCCAATATTTTATGACGGTTTTCCATATATCACAATCTTATATAGATGGCTGTCACAGAATATGCAAATGACTATCAGTTTTCTTAGGTCAATGCATTACAAAAATAATGTGAAATTCAAATTCTTCACATTTGTGTGACAACTTTTATGTGAATTCCCTTTCATATTGCTGTTCATAGCTATTAACTTGTAATGCCACTTATGATTGGTTAGAAGCAAAAGCTTCCTTGTTTTGCTATACAATTTGCTGAAACAAGGAAAATGATGCTTAGTATTTTCTGTCAGTTCACATAATTTATACTCTTTGTTGACTCAGGAATATGAAAAGTACCGTATATAACATTTTTGCCGATGTTTCTCAATCAAAATTTCCTGGATTTGAAAAGGTAAGTTACTAATTACTTTTCCTATGTAGTATGTCTCTGCGGCAATTCTTTCTTGGGATTCAAAATGTTGTTTCAATTTTTTTAGTATTCAGTTTTTGACTTCCATCATGAGTTCAGGCTATCTGGTGGGAGTGCACCCAAGAGGAAAATGAAGTAATCTTCGTGCCCAGTGGTTGGTATCATCAAGTTCATAATCTGGTATTGTCGCTTTAATCATGGAGTACATGATTATCTCTTATTTGTTATGGCATGTGTTTCTTCATGGAGTATAAATTAATGTACAGTTTTTCATTCAACTGACAAACTTGAGTAGCTTACCTGGTATTAGAATAAAGTGTCATAACTACACTACTTTCTATAGAGCTGAACATATTGCGTATGGTGTTATAGTGCTAAAATTGAAACAAGTAAAGCTGTAATTCGCTCTGTGGGAAGGTTGTAATCTTGAGTTCCGGAAAGGGATCTAATAACAAGGTGGTTGCAGTCCTAGTTACATCATCACCCATTAGATGAGTATAAAGTGCTTGGATTCAGATGAAATGTCTTCCAAATATACTGGACGTTACTGTTTAAGATGGATAGGTTACCTACATATTATTGGTAAGCAGACACTCTGCAATAATTTGTTCTGGATCTGTTTATCATAGCATTTGACAGTAGATTCGGGGAAAAGAAGGATCTTTTTTATCGTATTTTTATGACTGTTGGAAGGAGATAAGATCCATCTAGGCATGTAATTAAGCTGAAAATGCATTTGAGAACAGCTTTCTCATATTTATTTCGAGGATCTATGGGTTGTATTTCTGCTAAATCCAAATATGTAACATGAATTGCAGGAGGATACCATATCCATAAATCATAACTGGTTCAATGGATATAATTTATCTTGGGTGGTAAGTAATGTTGTGTTCAATGCGCTCACAAGCCTTTTACACAGAGAGTGATTTTTTTTTCTTCTGAAACTAGTCATATCTATATGTGACATCAGTGGGATTTGCTTTTGAAAGACTACAATGAGGCTAGCGAATACATCGAAGACCTCAAGGGATGTGATGATTTTGAGGAGCTTTGCCAGCGAAACCTTGCAGCTAATACAGGTGCGCTCTAGTTAAAAAATTTATAGCATCTCCTTTCAGATAATGTGAGGTTGTGGGGGGTGTAACCCACTAAATAATCATGTGTGTAACTGAGTTTTAACAGGACAATTTGAAGAAATTCCTGTTTTGGTTTTGTTATCTTTTATTGGAACTCCCTTGTGAGCTCACTTAAAGAAAGGAGAACTTTAATTATCTTACTGTACGTAAATATTATATAAATCTAGCTGCATTCTCTTGGGTACGTTTCTCTTTCTAATTCCTAGGATAGTTCTAACAATTTTGATATCATGGTTTGAATTCTGATTGACTAACCTGGCTATCTTCCATTTCTATCGTAGGCATGAATTTCTACGACTTCTTCATTTTCATTGTGCGCTTTGCCTTTGCAAATGTAGTCCTACTTCATAAACTTGCACATGGAAAGAAAGAACCAAACCAGAAATCCTCAGAAATTATTCGGCACATATATTTCAACCTCGAGTCTATAAGAAGTGTTGCTGTGAAAATGAAACCTATAGATGCAGGTGACAGGCAAGGTGTTTTACTTGATTTGAAGAAAAACCTGGAGGAGCACTCGTTTATAGAGCTCTGTGCTGCCGTTGGGAAAACATATGAATTGATACATGAGCAAAGTGAGGTGACCCAAGCATTATCGCAATGTAAAGACTTGACGTTTTCTAGTTTGATTAGATCCCAAGTTCAGAGTTCTGAAGACCTAGTTACCTTTATCGATGATGCTTTGACCAAGTTGGGTGCTGCTTTTTCTGGTTAGAAATGTCTGTATACATATATGAAATATGATTCTTTTTTTTTATTCATTCTGTCATTTGACTTGGGCATTGACATGTTGTATAACAAGGACATTAACCAAATCCATGCAACAAGTCTCTTGTCTTTGCATTTACGGTTATAGTAATAGTTTCTTGATAAAAACCATGTTCTTGATTAGTGAACTTTGATTGTTTCCATTGGTATTGGATGCTTTTGTTGGGTTGACTGGGCCTTGATAAGTTATATTAAAATCACAACAAACAACCTGTCTTGTTTTATTGATTATTAGCTTGATATAGCTACCATTTACTAAATTATTTCTATAGCTATGTTGCTGCGTAAGCTGCTACTGTAAGCTGCTACTGTACCAGATATAGATAATCTTCTACCAGAGGTCAATTATAACGCGATAGACTCCTAATATAATTCAACAAAGTCAATTATAACAAACAATTTGTATTTCTAGTTATAGAAAAATTTCTCATCAAACGAAAAATACCCCAAAACCAGAGCAATCTTTAGAGATTCAATCCATCCTTTCTTTTTTTAGTGGTATCTTTACAAATAGATTTATATATTGAAATTATATAATTATGTTGAATACAGTTAAATACATTGAATACATGAAGTATAGCATGTTATCTATAGTGCAAAAACATATGAATACATACTGCAGATACATTTGAATACATATATACATATGAATACATAAATTATATTAATTAAAAAAATATATGAATACATTCATGGAAAGTGAGACAGTGAATACAATGAAATACATGGAATACAACGAGATACATTGAAATACAATGAAAAAAAAAGACAGTGAATACAATGAAATACATGGAATACAGCGAGATACATTTGAAATAAAATGAAAAAAAAAAAAAAGTAACAGACTCTTCAAGTTCCTCAGCCTCAAACTCCGTCCCCAATCCACCATTATCCAGGTCGCCATGTGGGGCGTCGCCGCCGGTTAAATGAAGACAGTTGTTGAAGAAGCACCAATTTAAAGGATCAAACGGAAATTAGAGACAGAACTTCTTCAGATCTCACAAGGCAAACATGAACAATCAATGAAAAATCTAAGAAAAATTTAGAATGTGTAACACAAGTATGGGAAAGAAATCGCCGGCCAGAGGAGGGGGTTAGGGGTGACACAACAAGGAAGGGGGGAAGTGGTCGCTGGCTGGATCTGTCGTTGGCGAAACATAGCCCCTCCTAGAGTTTCTAAAAGCAGGGGAGAAAAAAACCGGGGGAAAAAGAGAAAGAAAGAGGAAAGAGAAAGGAGGAGAGAGGGAAGAGAGAGGAAGAGTGAAAAATAATACATAGCGTATTTAATGGCTTAAAGATAGAAAGTGACCATAAATAAAAAATTTACTATAAAAATTAAAATGTAGCTATAGGACATATTTTATTAAAAATATATTTATTTATAATAAATAAGGTATCAACTTTTGCTACGATAAAATTTCAACTTTAATTGTCTGGAAGCTAGTTTTAAGTCTTGTAGATGATAGTATGTTATTATATTAATAAGATTCAAAAGTTGGACTTCTGTTCTGCCAGCTATGTTGTATTCTACCTATGCTTCCCACATGCAAATCTACATTAAACGTTACCATCAACATCTTACTAGAAAATTATTTGAAACTACGCCAAAATCTGTAATCTCACTGGCACAGATACAGACACATTGGGTAATTGAGATTCTCAAGATGCTGTTTTGGTCATTACACCTAGGACTTTGAACTCCCAAGTTCCTACGGTAGGTGTGGTTGTACAATTTTCTACACACCATTTCCATCAGTTGACAATAAAATAAATTAAAATAACAGACATGTAAATTGTAATCAATACAATAGGAACCAGGGTATACTATCAACTTCTTGCCAAAATTTACATGATCAGCTCATAATTGGTCAAATAAGTAATGGATGAGCTCTTTGGAGCAAAGCAAACTTGTTATCTTAAAAAATCTAAGAAATGACTCAAACCTTCTAAATCCTAGGTCAAAATAGGGACACAAAGAACTTAAAGAAAGAAAGAAAAAAAAAGGGAAATAGAGAAAAACAGGATACATACTCTACAAGGCCAAAATGAAATTATTTTTTCTTTACGGGCACCTTGAATTTCTTCCAGGACCACCATAATAAAAATAATTACCCCAAACATTATTTTTTCCAGCTCTAATGTCATAGCAATTAGGATGGTCAGCTAAGAGATGAAGATTTGACAAAGGAATCAAGTTATTATCCCAGTCAACTACTTGCAAGTTTCTGAAATAGGAAGCTTTGCCAAAACCTTCATCTGCAAAATGTCCACTTCCCATTTGTGTTGAAGTGTGATATCCAGTTGATCTTGAGTTCACTATTTCTCCTCCAAATTGTATCATACTTGCATGCCTTCTCAAATGGCTGAACAAGAAATCTGGCCAGTACCCAACTAATAGACCCGACCCGAATTCCAGCCACCAGTGTCCATGCTTTGGGTCCTATATACAAGCCAAATTAGTTCTTGTAGTTATTTCAGCAGGTAAAGTTTTATCGTATTGATTTAAAGAAAAGACATTTTTCCTGATAATTGAACAAGTTATATATATTTGAGTTTAACAATCTTAAATATTGACAGTTACTATATCAGTCACATAAAAAAGATAAAAGACAAGTAACTGTCAAAAAAAACTGGGATAATATTCTTAAAAATAAGGCATATTGTCTATTATAACATGTTAAAATAAAATGATATAAATTAAATCCTATATATTTCTGTCGAAACTTGTTATGTTGCATAGGGAGAAAAAGATTGATGCAAAAGAAGAATACATTAGAAACAAGTGTGGAAACAAGAAGAGTAGTAGTTCCAAATTAAACTGTTAGCCCTAAAAGTTGTTAGGTGTCAGGTAGTAAGGAAATAGAATTTTAAATTGAAGTGGAAAATGGGAAGTTGACTCAGCGAAGGCTTCTCTTAGCAATGTAGAAGAGAATCTTGCAATTTAGAACTATTATTAAACCGTGAGGACAAAACCATATCTAAGGAATATATTACTATAGCGTTTTTGTCAGGTAATGACAATGTCCCTACGCATGCCTCAACCCCACTAAGTTTTCAATTTCAATCCTCCCTTTCCCCACCCCTTAAAAGAAAAGAGAAACGTACTTGATAAGCAATTTGGGGGGGGGGGGGGGGGGGNAGGAAGTGCAAAACAGCTATAAAAAATTCTTTTTTTTTAGGTTATAAAGGAGAATAAAAATGTTACAGCAAACAATAAAGTTAAAGGGGACTTAAATACTACCTTCCATATCATTATGCCAATATCAAATTGTCTGGCATTGACATTTGATCTTGGAGATATTGCTGCCCCCATAGCAATCCTGTTGTTTGTTTGAACGAAACCTGAGCATAATAAGTTGTAACATCCTGTGGCTTGGTATGCATCCGTCTGCGTTTTGAATTATATTACAAATTTAAATTTTATGCATTGACGATATAAAAAATATGTTTGCACATGTATGATATGAAGAAAATAAAACTCTTACCGTCCAATAAGTGAAGAACCTAGGATAGTTGTCTCCATACAGTTCTGGGCTGACCTGAAAAAGAACATGACACTTAATTAGTTTACCAAACTTAAAATCTCTGTTGACTCAGAAAGCAACCCAAAATATATAAAAATATTAGCTGTCATTGTGGTTTATGGATATATATATAGTTTGTTATGACAACTAAATTAGCTGATGTTTCACTTTCAAATGAAGCATTGTACTGATGATGTTACAGCTTAGCAGCAATAATGATATCTTTACTTGAAAGGGGAAAAGAAAAGACGAATAAAGTAGGTTGCAATTGGACTTCAAGGAATTTTTTTAAAAAAACTTTTCTTTTTCTTTTTATGACGATAGTGATGATTTATGTCCAACTCAATTAATTAATCGAGTACTCACTATAAAAAATAATTCCCTAAATGTTAATAGTCAAACCTATTTATAATAGCATAGTGTGTTCTAATATTTTTTGAATGTTATAGTATTGTTATAAAGAACATATATTATAACGTAACATCAAAATTTGATTCCAAAAAAAAATTGATTATTATAAAGAAGTGTTGATATAGATGATAGATTGTTATGGACAAGTTTGACTGTATTTTATTACTACTAAAAATGGCGCTCTTCTTTGATCACTAGGCTATATCCTTAGGTGCAAAAGCTATTTCTTTTATAACCCTAATTTTCGTTTGGGAGAGAGACATAGAAGTAAAACCATGTACTTGGGACTTAAAATTAATGGCTTGAATAAAGCATACCTGCCAACCAGCTTCAATGGTATTAAGATCATTGCCAAAGGTACCAGAGATGACCCAAAGTTGTGACAGACTGAATTCATATTGGTCTGTAACTCTGGGCGTCCACACATTAATGCTTGCCTTGGCTCCATAGTATTGATCTCCATTCACGAAAGCTACCGCATGCTGCCATTACAAGAAAACATTTTCACATTGTTGGAATTCAAATTATAAACCTTTAGACAGATTGTACACTCTTCTCTTTAAGTACATTAAAATTGTCATGTCCTAATCCTACGTTGCTTTTAAAGGCAATGTCTGTTGCTGTTTGCATCTTGAAAGTGACATTTTGACTCTTGTTTGACTGTTATCAACACTAGTTTATCTTGAAAGTGTTTAATTATAATTTTTATAAATATGAATTTTTACAATATCAAAGTTGATGTGCATATACTAATTATTACCTCATGATCATTGCTCAATGTGTCGTGTCTTACACCTCTTCTAATTTTTCTACCAAATCTTCGGAAAGAGCTAGTTCTTAGGACATCTTTCTCTGTTGTTCTCCTAATTGGAACAGTTCCTTCAGGGCATAATTCTCCAGAAACTGTCCAAAGTTGTAAGCTTTCTTTCATTTCATTCATAGAGTCATTAGCTTTAGGCCTCTTTGGAGGTTCCTGCATTGCATGAAACACATCAAATTAAACCCCACCTTCATTTCATGGTTTAGCAGAAAAAGAAAAAAAAATGTTCCTTTAACTTTGTGTTTCAATTAAAGAGAGAAATTAAAGTATTCTTTAGCAAAATACCAATGGCTTCATTCCTTTGAGTTGAGGATGGTCAAAAGCTGGTTGAAGATGAGATAAAACACAATCTATTAGATCCCCATCTGGACTCTGCATCAAATAAAACACAAAAAAAAAAAAAAATTGTAAGAAAACTTGAAAAGCTGCAATCTTGAAAAGATAAAGAGAAAAAAGAAGAGTACCTGAATTGTTTTGACTGCTGGTTTGTTGGTTTTCTTGAGGTAAGACCTTATTTTCTTGAGTTTCAGCAATTCTTGCTTTGGCCGGAAAGTTTGATTTGCCGGCAGGTTTTGACTTGAACCCTTTAAAGTATGCTCCGAGAGAACAGTAGTACTAAATGAGGAAATAAGAAGCAAGAAAGCAACAAAGGAGAAAATGATTGAATTTGAAGAAGAAGAAGAAGTAGAAGTCATGATTTTGGGATGTCCTTTTCTGATTGTTTCTTCTGTTAGCATTGCTTGTGTGTTTGTATGTATTGAGGTTGTCTTCTACTGTGATAAGAAGCAACACAACAAGAGTGTTTATTCCAGAATTTTGTCCATAGAAACACTTCCTGATCTTCCATACAAAATAAAAAGGAAAGAAGGAAGAAGACAGGAAGAAAGATTCAAAGAGTAAGTTAAAACACGGTTACTCACTCACCATTTTCAAAATTGTTTATGTTTTTTTAAAGGCTCAATTTGACAGAGAAAAATAACTCTACTCCTACAGATTCTTTATTTTTTGTGTGTGTGTGTCTTGGTTTTGTGTTCTGACACACAGAACCTTAGTTCAGGCTGAGTTTGTATTAAAATAGACCCATGATAAAGTAAGGGTTGTTAACCCCACTATTAGTATTTCTAGTCAAAAGTAAGGACCAATTCTTTATTCTAATGCTATATTAACAAGCACTTAAAAGATAGCAGAAAAAACTTAGCTACCTTCGGATATAATTTGGTTGTAATTTGAAAAAAGTATTTTTTTTAAAATGGTGTTAAAAAATAATTTTTGGAAATTAGAAAATATTTGAACGTGCATTTTATTTGAGAAAAAAATTGAAGTTTTGTGATGGAAGAAAAAAATTCACCTAAAACTACCCTAAACCAAATTTTGGGAACTTGAAAAAATATTTTTTTTTTATTTCAAAATTTGATCATATTCCATAAATAAATAATTTTTTCAAATTTTTTTTTTTTAATAAATAAGATATCAAAATCTGTGGCCAAACGGGAGCTTAGATTCTCGTGGTTTTCAAAACAACAACAACAACAACCGAGTGTAATCACACAAGTCGGGTCTAGGAAGGGTAGGATGTACGCAGCCTTACGCCTACCCTGAAAGGGTAGAGAGACTGTTTTCGATAGACCCTCGGCTAAAGAAAAGACGAAAAGAGCAATGATAGCAAGTAATATCAAGACAATATATTTCGAAAACTAAATCCAAAGCAGCAATAGATAGTATGAAAGAAGTACTGATAGTAAGTAACAACAATAACAGGTATGAAATAATAGTCACTAAGTGAGTACTAGTGGCAAGTAATAACAATACGAGATATGCAATACTAGCAAACTAAGGATAAAAGAGGTACCATACTTATACTAATACTAATAATCTAATAAAGTAAAGGGAAACGCTTGACTACCCACTAATTTTCTATCTTAATCCTCAACCTCCATACCCTTCTATCAAGAGTCATGTCCTCGGTCAGCTCAAGCTGCGCCATGTCCCGCCTGATTACCTTCCCCAAAACTCCTTTGGCTTACCTCTACCCTTCCTCTTACCCCTCAATGTTAACCTCTCACACCTCCTCACTATGGCATATGTGCTTATCCTTTAACATGCCCGAACAATCTCACCCTCGCCTCTGCCATTTTCTCCTCCACGGGGGCCACTCCTACCTTATCCCGAATAATTTCATTCTTAATTCTATCTAACCTAGTGTGCCCACACATTCATCTCAACGTCCTTATTTCACTTACTTTCATCTGCTGTACATGGAAGTTCTTGACTGGCCAACACTCTACCCCGTACAACATAGTCGGTCTAACCACTACCTTGTAGATTTTACCTTTAAGTCTTTACGGCACATTCTTATCGTACAAGATACCGAAAGCGAGCTTCCACTTCATCCTATTAGGTGTTTGTTCTAGTTTTCTTACCATCTTTAGTTTTGATATCTATTGAGAAATGTCAATATATTTACAATCCTTGAGTTTTTCCTTTTCTTATAAGGTAAATATAATTCTTTCATGTTTAGCTAATCCTTTTTTGGAGAAAAAAAGGTTTGAATTTCTATAAATTGAGAATCTTTCTTTCTCATTCCGTGACATCCACAATGTAGCCATAAGGGGTTTGAGAGTCTTGTTTAGGAGGGAAACAGTACGGGACAAGTGTTAGTGTGTCACTTGTATTTGCCTCTTTCTAAAATTGTTCTCTCGATATTTTGTACTTTCTTTTACATAGTGAATTGCTCATCTCCGCCGTAGACGTAAGTTAATTGATTGAACCACGTTAAATATTTGTATCTCTTTTGATATATTTCTTTTTTGTTGTCTCATTATCGTCATTCAAATATTGTTTTACTAGCTTATACATGACACCTGATTTTTTCGGTCCTAACAAGTGGTATCAGAACGAGGTCCAAGATAGGTTGATCTTGGCGGGTTTAGTTCTAACCGCAACCTATTTCACGGTAATTATGATTTTTGTTTGAGAAATTTGACCGGAGTGCTACTTAAGTTGAGACAAACTTTGTAGTAGAGATTTGGAGATGCGATCTGTTGAAGGCTATATGAAGAAGGTGGATCAAATTTATTTTATTAGAAAATTCAAGCCACGGGGGAGCATTGTTAGATGTTTGTCCTAATTTTTTTACCATCTTTAGATTTGATATCTCTTGAAGGAAAGAGCAATACATTTACCATGGTTGAGTTTTTCTCTTCTTATAAGGTAAATACAATTCTTCCATGTTTGGCTAAATTGAGGATCTTTCCTTCTCATTCAGTAGAATCCACTAGAGGTGTACAAAGAAAACCGATAAAATGCACCAAACCGATAATTCGAGTAAAATCGGGGAAAAAAACCCGATGTTGCTTGGTATTGAAAAATAAAACTCGACCATAATTGATTTGGTTTGGTTTTAACTGAAAAAAGTCAAACTAAAACCAAACCAAGCCGATAGTATATTTATATAATTTTTAAAAATATTTTATACTTATAAATTATTATTGTAATTTAATTTATAAATATTTCTTAAAGTTTCACAGTTTTATCTTTTAATACCAATGCCAATGCTAGCAAAATAAATTCAATTCAATACTAGGAATGACGATAGTGTTGGATAATTATTTTAGTTTTGCACTGGTTTATAATGACCTATATAGTATTTTTAGATTATGTTAATTTTTATTATGGCTTATTAATTAGCAATATTTTTTTAATGTAATTTTATTATTTTATCTTTATTATTTAATATTTTAGTATAATGCTATGACTTATCTCATATTATTGTGTTAGTTTCTTGAAAAATACATTATATGTAGTTGTATTTTACCAGGATTTAAGAAATATTTAGAGCACAAGTTACATATTTTATGTTATGAAGACTATACTAGAAAAAACGCCGAAAAATCTGAGAAACCCGAGAAAAATCAAGATTTAAAACCTTGACTTTGTTGGTTTGGTTAGGTTTATAAATTTAAAAATTCGACACCATTGATTTGGTTTGATAATTGAAAAATTCGATCAACCCAACCTATGCCCTAGCATCCACAATGTAGTCATAAGGGGTTTGAGAGTCTTGTTTAGGGGGAAAATTTTACGGGACAAGTGTTAGTGTGCTACTTCGGTGTTCTCTCGATATTTTGTACTATCTTTTATATTGTGAATTGCTTATCTCCGCCGTGGACGTAGGTCAATTGACCGAACCACGTTAAATGTTTGTGTCTCTTTTGGCATATTTCTCTTTTGTTGTCTCATTTATCGTCATTCAAGTGTTGATTTACTAGCTTCCACATAACACCTGATTTTTTCTGTCCTAACACATCCACCCTGCTCTGATACGATATGTGAGATCCTCACCAATCTCCTCATCATTATGAATTATAGACCCAAGGTATTTGAAACTCTCTCTCGTAGGAATGACTTGCGTATCAAGCCTCACATCTCCGTCCGCTTCCTGGGTAACACCACTGAACTTGCACCCCAAGTATTTTATCTTGGTCTTGCTCAACTTGAAACTCTTAGACTTAAGGGTATGTGTCTAGACCTGTAACCTCTCGTCAACATCACCTCGCGTCTCATCAATCACGACTATATCATTTGCAAATAACATGCACAAGGCACCTCCCATTGAATGTGTCGCGTCAATGCGTCCATTGCCAAGGAAAATAAAAATGGGCTAAGTGTTGATCCCCGATGCAACCTCATCTCAACCGGGAAGTTTTTTGTGGGGAAGGGGGGACTCACTACTACTGGTGCTACCGTCGCTTCTCAAGCTCAAATAAATTAAGTTGAGATGGGTTATATGAAATTATGGATTATTATAGACCTAAGTTTTTCCATTTAAATTCATCATGGATTAATAAAGTACCAAAATAAAAATAAAAGACTCTGCACTTTACTTTGTTTAGTTATTTATTTAAGTATACGCTGTCTGGAAAGACAACCTACCGTACTAAGAACCAGTAAAAAATAACAGGAGTTTAACCATAGCGTCAGAAATTGTTGGATCATTTTTCATTCTGGTGCAAGTATGTTGACTGTAAAGAGTAAAATTGGGGGTCACTTTCAAATGGACCAACTTTGGTATGCAATGATACGATATTACAAACATAATTATTATCCACATTAATACCTCACGCTAGTATGAGTATGACATGGCATATCTCACACATATATATGATGAATAAAAGAAAATATTTTGTCTTGCTTTGACATTAATTCGTACCTACTTTCAATATTTTCCATCAATTATTATCAGTTTGATTTCTTGTTACACCAAATTAACGAACTTTTATCTAAACTTTGAAATAATTATTTATTTAGTGTGCAACATGTGGAGTGCAGTAATTTGTATGTTCGCAATGCGCAAGGTTCTTGTTTGTTTCGTAGGTAGGCAGGCAAATGTTTTTGTCCTTTTTACCAGTGAGGAGAAATTTATTGTGCAGTAAACAAGGTAAAATCTTATGCATATCTCACTTATCAACCCTGCTCTTGCTTTGAGAACGCTAAGCACCAAAATGATTAAGTAAAAAAATGTTACTAGCTTCTTTTGATGACTGATAGTATTTGTTTTTTGCCTAACATTGACACATTGTAATATTCTGCAAATTGACTTGCAGCGTTATCTGAAATTTTTCAGAAACTTGAATGGCCTTGACCAAAAATGATCATTCCTTAACTATAGCCCGGTATATCATTCCCACAATAAATTATAAATTATTTTTATACACTAAAGTTGGTGGCCTTTTTTTTTGGTAAATAAAGTTGGTGGCCTTTATCGCTGAAAATAAGGTGATGTGAACTTCTTAGAACTGGACGACGACTTAGTCTTAGAATTGGTGGTCTTAGCTCCGTTAAATTCGAGGTTTATGTGTAAACATATTTCATGCGTTAATTGGTTCGGTATAAATATTTTGTTAAAAGGGAAGCCAGTAGCTATCCTATATAGAGTGTCCTACAAATTTTTATTCAAAAAAAAAAATTATAATAAAGTACATTAGACTCTCAAATTTGGCCCAGACACTTCGGATTTTTTTGGGGTCAAAGTTGACTTAAACTGCTAAATAGTGATAT